TGCCTACAATGGGAACTTACGAAGCTACCAACGGGAAAAAAGGCCTTGAGCAACAAATGGGTGTACAAAATCAAAGAGGAACATGATGGTTCCAAGAGATACAAGGCCAGATTGGTGGTTAAAGGATTTCAGCAGAGAGAAGGAGTTGACTACACCGAGATCTTCTCTCCTGTAGTCAAACTGACCACCATCAAAACAGTCCTGAGTATTGTTGCAGCTGAAGATCTACATCTCGAGCAGCTAGATGTAAAGACAGCTTTCCTCCACGGTGATCTAGAGGAAGAGATATATATGCAGCAGCCAGAGGGGTTTACTCAGAAGGGAAAAGAGAAGATGATATGCAGATTGAAGAAGAGCTTGTACGGCCTGAAATAAGCTCCAAGGCAATGGTACAAAAAGTTCGATGGATTCATGCACAGGAACGGTTACTCCAGGTGCAATGCTGATCACTGTTGTTTTGTCAAGGAGTTTGACAATAGTTACATCATCCTGCTTTTATATGTCGACGACATGCTAGTAGCCGGTTCAGACATGAGAGAGATCAAGAAGCTGAAGAAGCAGCTGTCGAGTGAGTTCGACATGAAGGATCTAGGCGCAGCGAAGCAAATATTAGGGATGAAGATCAGTAGAGACAAGCTCTTGGGCACACTGCGGCTATCTCAAGCCGAATACATTAGACGGGTGCTTGAGAGATTCGGGATGAGTGGTGCTAAGGCCGTTAGCACACCGCTAGCTAGTCATTTCAAATTGACTAAGGAGCAGTGCCCCGAGACTGATGAAGAGAAAGACTACATGGCTAAGGTTCCATATGCTTCAGCCATTGGAAGCCTCATGTACGCCATGGTATGCACGAGACCTGACATTGTCCATGCAGTGGGAGCTGTGAGCAGATTTATATCAGATCCAGGAGAGCAGCACTGGGAAGCAATAAAGTGGATTCTGAGATACCTGCGAGGTACAATAGAAGACTGTTTATGCTTCAGGAGAGGCAAGTTAGTTCTGCAGGGTTTTATTGATGCAGACTATGCTGGTGAGATAGACCAGAGAAGGAGCACTACAGGATAGGTATTCACTTTGGGCTCTACAGCTATTAGTTGGGTTTCTCAGTTGCAAAAGATCGTTGCTTTATCAACGACAGAGGCTGAATATGTTGCTGTGACAGAGGCAAGCAAGGAGATGATATGGTTGCAGGGTTTCTTCGAGGAGCTAGGACAGAAGAGTGAGACGAGTGTCTTACATTGTGATAGCCAGAGCGCAATTCATTTGGCGAAGAATCCCGCTTTTCATGCAAGGACCAAATACATACAGGTCCGCTACCACTTCATAAGATCAGCGTTGGACGAGGACATGTTGGAACTTGTGAAGATTCAAGGAAGCAAGAACCCGGCCGATATGCTTACCAAGGTTGTCACTACAGAGAAACTGAAGTTGTGTTCAACTTCAAATGGCCATTACTTAATGATATAGAGGCCGTCGCCGTAAAGAGAGCTGAAAGAGATTGATAGTTAGTCTCCAAGTGGGAGATTGTTAGGATATGTGAAGCCTAACTATCAGACCTGCCCTATACTTCAGAATGAAGAGGAACAAAGTGGAACAGGAGGAACAGGATCGACGACGACGAAGTTCAAGCAAAACGACGAAGGACGCATTTTGCACTGCAGGCGCGGTCGACCAGCGCATGCGCCGCGACTGGTCGACCCGCGGCATGGGCGACGGTCGAGCGCGCATGCGCGACGCGGTACGACTGCGGCATGGTCGCGACTGGTCGACGCCGCATGGCGGACGCGTCGACCGCCGTAACTCTGTGCACAGACATGCAACATTGCTGAGCGAGCCAAGCTTCGCCGGTCGACCGCGCATGGCGCGGCGGTCGACCGCCCCAAAAGTCCAGAGAGCCCCTAGCCAGAATTATTTACCTTCGGTCTGGTCGACCGCGCGTGGACTGGCGGTCGACCGCCCCAAAAAAGTTCCAGAGAGCTACCATCAGCAGGAGGCTTCGTCGCGGTCGACCGCGGGTGGCGCGGCGGTCGACCGCCAAAACTCCAAAGACTCTGATTAGGAGAAGGATTCGTCACGGTCGACCGCGCGTGGCGCGACGGTCGACCGCGAGTCGGGTTTTGGCCTAGTTACAGTTTTTGACATGTTTCCTTTTCTATTTGTAAAACCCTTAAGTCTATAAAAGGGTTGATTAATGCATGATGTAATTAAGACAAAAATAGTGAAATTCTCTCCTGCGGCGGCCGTGGACGAATTTTCTCACATTGAGAAGCGAACCACGTAAATCTTGTGTGTTTGTGATTGATTGAATTCTCTCTTCTCTCCTAAATCTCTATTTTCAAATCGCATCAGGGGGGTTGTGCATCCCCAACACTGTTCTATTCACTAACCATCTTTATCCCTTCACAGTTTCAGTGTCAGTATCATCATTCTCCGCTATGTCATTTACTTATGATAGCTGCCTCTCTTGAATTTGTGATAGTTGCCCTCTTCAGTGACACAACCAATTCCACCTGCATCATCTATATCGTCTTCCACAGCAATTGAATCAAGCTTCTCAAAGTTGTGCTCAACATAGATAACCATGTGCTTCACATCATATTCTTCCACAAGTTCAGTAGGAGGGGTTATAGATGGAAAAACAAATCTTAAGCATCTATCAACAATAACAAAGGGTCTCTTTAATAAATAATTTCATTTCAATTTTGTATCTTGTTTTCCTAACAAAATGTTCTATGGGTTTCGAAGTAAAATATTCCTTCTCCACACGCAACATTCTAATTTTCTCATCAATATGTTTTAACCTTGACAGCTTGAGAAAACTACCACATGATAAAAAGTAACTTTATAGTACATGGTCATTCCTACATTAAAAAATAATAATAATATCCAACAACAGTCCCTACTACATACTGTGTTCGAGTGTGGAAAAACAATGAAAAGTTCTATAATTATTATTATTATTTTTGTTAAAAGCACTAGCAATATGGCCAAAACCACAACAATCATGCAAAGTTTGCATTTTCAGCACCAAACCTAAAGCAAAATAGATCCATTCTATCCACTTAAAAAAACCTAGAACAATGTGGTCCATAATCAAACACGTTCACACAATAACACACATTAAGATAGCCAAATCTTCAATTCAACTAACTAATCTACAAAAAATCAACATGCAATTAAACTAAAATAGTTCAGGATCTTTACCTTACAGATGGAACCCTAGCCTAGTGGAGAGTCAAATTGCTGGGTATATTAATGTGGGCGGCTTAGAAAATTAAAGGGCGCGTTTTGCTCTTAGCGTCTAAAAATTTAACGGTGAAACTTTTATAGAGGAAAAAACTGTAAATCATTTTATTTGTACTTTTGTGTAACGTGGATCATGTAAGTGAAAAAAAATATAAAATTTAGTTTATTTTAGTATTGTTGATGTTCAAATCACCCAGAATAATTTAGAATAGGATGGTTGCGGAGTGATGAAAGATGATGGAGGGGATCGCTTCCTTTCCTGACTTTATGTCTTGTCCACTGAGTTGGAGTGAACGATCTGCACAGAAGAAGGTCATGAGAGGGCGGGGTGGTGATCCCCCCGTGGTACCTCCGACAATCAAGTCAGTTGATGAACTTGAGCTTGAGTGGAGTAATAAAACTATGCGTTATTATGTTATGTGCATTAGAGATGATGATCTCTGAGATTTAAGTCAAGAGGAGAGTTTAGATTGCGAACATTTGGCTATGACAAATAGCATCTGTATATAAAGAGGATGTTAATGGCAGATTGGTCATTTCGGCCATGCAAATGGCAGTGACAAAGTGTGAGCTGGAAGGTGAGTCATCATTTGCTCTACATGTGTTGGCTGGCGACAGGAGGAAGATCTCTTCGGCCTCGATTTGAGGAGCGATCGATGAGACGTGGGCTGATAAGCGGCGTGATGACGCATGGTCTTTGAGTAGACATGATATGACTTGTTGTCAGGATGGATAAACTTTGACGAAGTAATCTTCTAACTTCGCTGAGAAGCAATGTCCCTCATGATGAGACTTGTGAGGAGAGTTGACTCGTTGAGAGGAGTGACGACTCAATGATCGCTGGCTGAATGGAGTCGGGTGATGACTCGTCCCGCCTTTCGAGTCAACATGGAGGAGTATCGACTCGAATGGGTCGAATTGGCTCTTGACGAGTTGCCTGCTGCGAGAGGGCCGGCTGGTACCGCCTTTCGTGTCAACATTGATGAATGTCAACTCGTCTGGTCGGCTGAGTCTGACTGTTACCTGATCTCTGTCTATCTCTCGCGTCGGTCGAGATGTCGACTCGTCTGGGAGGTCAGGATGCATCGTGCCGATTAGCACCGTTTCTCGTGTCGACACTGGGGTGTCGGCTTGCCTGGCTGGATGAGAATGACGACTCATCAGATTATATATTTGGAAACAGTTGTACCCCATAACAAGTACAAATTACCAAAAAAAACAAAGAAAAAAGAAGTCAACGGACTTGGGAGACGGTGAAGTCTAACGCTAAATTGAATTTTGTCGACTGCGACGTACTGAGGATTTAAGCTAAATACCACTTAAATAACTTATTCTTTAACTTCCTTAGATTTATATACCCTTAGTTGTATTTCTATCATTTATATACCATGAGTTTTCTAAAATTGGTATGTTAAGAAACTTTATTTTGTAAACGTGAAAACTTTTATCAAAATACTCATATATAATTGTATATACTAATTTACATCTTTTGTCTATTTAGTCTACTGAACTTATTGTTAAATTTTTCCAAATTCTTTTTTAAAAAAAATAGAATTATGATACATTTAAATTAAAATTCAAGTAAGTTTAATAGTAATTTAATAAATATTAATGATTAAAGGCTCTTAAATTAACATATAAATGTTAAATGAAAACTTTGGGATAAAACTTTTAACATTTGCATTATAGAGGATATTAGCACACCAGTTTTGAGCAACTCAAAGTATATAAATATTACAAAATACAACTGAGAGTATGTATAAATGCTAAAGGATTAGTATGAGGTATTTAAGTGCTATTTAGCGGCGGCTTAGTGTTCTCCCTCCTCTTGTAAACCCATTTCAACATCCCAATGAGCTGAAAAAACCGAAATGCCCTTCCCCATCACCATCTCCGCTCTCTCACTCCCTCACCTCCAACGAGCCCATGCTCTCCTCACAACGTCCGGCCTCATCTCCGACCTCTTCTTCTCAAACAACCTCATCTCCTCCTACTCCAAATGTGGCTCTGTATCTTCTGCCCGCCAACTGTTCGATCAAATTCTCCACAGAGACTCTGTCACTTGGAACTCCCTTCTCTCCGCCTTCGCCCACAACAACCTCTTCTCCGATGCTTTTCACCACTTCCGTCAGATGCTTATCTCATATGTACCCCCGACGAAGCTTACTGTCATTCCTTTGCTCAAACTCTGTGCTAACACCTCACATTGTGTCTCTACTTCACGTGCTGTCCACAGTTTTGTTGTTAAGATTGGTTTGGAGTCGGATGCTATGGTTTCGAGCTCACTTGTTGGAGTTTATGCCAAGTCTGGGCTTTTGGATGAGGCCAAGTGTTTGTTTGATGGGATGATCGATAGAGATGTTGTCTTGTGGAATGTGATGATTAAGGGGCATGCTCAACTGGGTTTTGGGAAAAAGTCCTTCTTGATGTTCTCGGAGCTTCATCGCAGTGGAACACTTCGGCCTGATGCAATCAGCGTTCGTTGTGTTCTTATGGGGTTAGAAACTGGCAGAGAATTTGAACAAGTTCGGTCTTATGGGATTAAGTCTTGCCTTTTGGAGGATATTTCAGATGTGATAACTTGGAACAAGAGATTGTCGGAGAATGTCCAGGACGGCAAGTTTGATGATGTGTTGAATCGCTTTGTAGAAATGAAGAGGAAGGGTGTTGGAGTTGATAATGTGACTTTTGTCATTGTTCTTAGCGCAGTCACCAATGAAGAGTGTTTTGAATTGGGGAAACAGATTCATGTACTGGCAATGAAGGAAGGATTTCATTCAGATACTCCCGTGTCAAATAATCTTATTAACTTGTATGCGAAGATGAACAGTTTGGATGCTGCAAGAACAGTTTTTGACAGGATGAAGGAATTGGATTTGGTTTCCTGGAACTCGATGATATCCGCTAATGTTCAAAGTGGTCTAGATATTCAGTCGATTGACCTTTTCATGGACATGACAAAGAATGGATTTTTTCCAGATCATTACACATTGACGAGCATTTTGAGGGCATGCTTGGGGATAACTGCAAGCTCTTCCATACATGAACAAGTTCACACAATTTGCATCAAAATGGGACTTTTAAGTGATTTTTTTGTATTAACAGCATTAATTGATACTTATGCCGAAAAGGGCAACATGGAAAGAGCTAGGATTCTATTTGAAGGCATGGATTGGTTTGATCATGCTGCTTGCAATGCATTAATCAGTGGTTACATAAAAAACAATGATAATAGTTCTGCACTAAACCTCTTTGCATCATTGCATCAAAGTGGTGGGAGGTCAAATGATTTTTCATTAGCAACTGTTCTCAAGGCCTGCAGTGGCCTTGTGGCCCTTCAGCTAGGAAAACAGATTCATGCATATGCAGTTAAACTTGGGTTTGATTCAAATGTCTGTGTGAGTAGCAGTATCTTAGACATGTACATCAAATGTGGCAATATGCTAGATTCTTCTGCAGCTTTTAGTGATATCCATGAACCTGATGATGTTGCTTGGACAGCCATGATCTCTGGGTATGTTGAGAATGGGAATGAAGACTATGCTCTCAATCTCTTCCATCAAATGAGGAAATTGGGATTATTGCCTGATGAGTTCACTCTGGCTTCCTTAGTCAAGGCTTGTTCATGCTTGGCTGCACTTGGGCAAGGAAGGCAAATTCATGCAATTGTAATTAAGCTTGACCATGCTTCTGATTCTTTTGTGGGGACCTCAATGATGGATATGTATGCAAAGTGTGGGAACATAGAAGACTCTTATGAACTTTTTAAGAGGATGGACTTTAAAAATAATGTCTCATGGAATGTTATGGTGCTTGGATTTGCGCAACATGGAAAAGCTGGGAAAGCACTTGACCTTTTCAATAAGATGGTATCATACGGGTTGCAACCTGATAAAATTACCTTTCTTGGTGTCCTCTCAGCCTGCAGCCATTCAGGATTAGTCTCCAAAGCATATAACTATTTTGACTCTATGTTTAGGGATTATGGAATTAAGCCAGAAGCAGAGCATTATTCTAGTTTAGTTGACGCTCTTGGTCGTGCTGGGCTTCTTAGCAAGGCAGAAGAAGTTATTGATACGATGCCTTTTAATGCTTCCTCGTCTACATATAGGGCTTTGCTTGGTGCTTGTAGGAATCAGCGTAATATGGAACTCGGGGAGAAAATAGCAAATAAGCTTTTGTTGCAGGAACCTCAAGATGCGTCTGCTTATGTTCTTATGTCAAATATATATGCTACTTCCAACAAATGGGATGGTGTAACTAATGCTAGGAGAAGCATGAAGTGCAAGAATATAAGGAAAGATCCGGGTTACAGTTGGATTGAAGTAAAGAATAAGATGCATATGTTTGTTGTGGATGACAAGTCTCATCCTGAGAATCAAATTATATATGATGAACTAGAGGATTTGATAAGAAGGATTAAGCATGAGGGGTATGTGCCCAATACAGAGGTTGTGCTTTTAGATGTTGAGGAAGAAGAAAAAGAGCGATCTCTTTACTATCACAGTGAGAAATTAGCTATTGCTTATGGCCTTTTAAGAATTCCAGCTCCTCAGAAAATTCGGATTATCAAGAACCTTCGCGTTTGTGGGGATTGCCATAATGCAATCAAATACATGTCCAAAGTTTCTAGACGTGAGATCGTTTTAAGGGATGGCAGCCGTTTTCACTGCTTCGGAGATGGAAAGTGCAGCTGTGGTGATTACTGGTGACTCAACATAATTTTTCTTTTATTTTGCACCTAGTGATGTACCTTCTTTTGAAGGATGATAGCATGGAGGGCTATTTTCTATTTGGTTATATATCAGATAAAGCTTCCAAGTCCTACCATTTTGGGTGAAGGCAAGGCGGAAACCCAGAATCATGCCATTATATTTACACGAGGTGAAGGTTTACAGACTACAGACATGAAACAGGTAATCAGTGATTTGCTTTCTTTTTTAGGTTGCTATAGCCTTAACATGTATTATCAATGTTACAGGACAACTATCTGGTAGAGGCCTTCAAATTGAGAAATTTGCCGCAAGAATTTGTGGGGAAAAAAAATAATGGTTTGAGACAGCCATCTATCCTTGGAGTTAGAGTGTACATATTTACTGGGAGGTTTGTGGATTTATATAGCTAAGAGAGAAACATATATCTGTGGTACAGGAGCATTATTTCCCTTTTTTATGATTAGAACTAGAAGCTTACTAGTTGTCAGTGTTTTTGCTGCAGTGTTTCTTCTCTTGCATGGTTTTTGTCGAACCAGGAGACTAGCTTTGTTACAATTGGCTAACGGTTGCTTGCAAACCCTCTTAGGTGAGTGTACTTCTGAGCTATAATTTTTATAAATTATAGGTATGTTTGCTACCGTATCAATTTTTGGTTATGTGATATGAATAGAGTAGTTTAAGAGTTGTTTAGTCTGAAATTTCCTAGAGAGTAAAGTTGTATTGACCGACAAATACAGTTACTTGAAAAAAATCACTGCTTTTGTATACTTTTAATAATTGTGATTTCTTCACTGGTTATATGGTGTCAGGACAGACTAACCCATATAGTGGCAATTCCTAAATTTGTGTCCACTTTTTCCCCCCACAAGATAATCATCTCATTCTATTAATTCACTAAAAGTGTTACCTGTATCTTTTTACTAGAATGTTACTGAAAAAGCAATTGTTTATTTTGGCATCTTTTGATCTCTAAATATATTGGAATTAAGTACTAGTGCTGTTTCTGTTTTGGTAGAGAATAGGATTATTCTGGCCTAGCCAAGCAATTGTATTTTAGAATTGCTATATTAGCTCAAGAATCGCTCGATATGTGAATTTAGGCAACGATCTCAAGAATGTTAAACCAAGAAATTGTTTCTTTATAGTACTCAAGATATAGAATGTAGTGATTTCTTCACGATGTCCATCTATTTCTATTGCTGCTTGGGGTTCATTTTCATTATGGTCTTCCAAATGTATTTGATTGACTATTCCACCTCACAAGAGGGGGGTGTAAGTAAAGCGTCCCAGATCATTAACTCAAGCGAGGGCATATTTGCAGGCATGGTTATAACTTTTAATATAAACGTTATTTGCTTACTATAACAACTCTATTCGTGCTTAACATTATCCCCCATACTGCAGGTTTCAATTCCACTCTTCGTGATGGTAGTGTTACTCATCACGAACACATGCAAGTCGGTAAGGAGAGATATGTGGGTCTTAGGCTCTGTTTGGCAAAACTAGCTGAAAGCTGCGAGATTATAGCTAAAAGCTGTCAAGCTAGCTGAAAGCTGTGAAATTATAGCTGAAAGCTGATAGCTGTGTAGCTAGCTGATTGACTAGAGCTGTTTAGCAAAAGAAGCTGTACAACTAGCTTAAATTTGTTAAATGACTAAAAAGGTCATGCAATATTATTGATATAAAATTAGAATTATTAGGGGCAAAAAGAAAAGGAAAAAATTGACAGCTCCTTCCCAAAGACAAACGCTACTTGAAATAGCTTTTCAAAAGCTACTTGCAAAAGACACAATCTTCAAAATAATCTCCTCCTATTTTTGGTCACCAAACAGCTCTACTAGCTTATTGACAAAGTCAATAAGACACAAGCTCTTAGATAAGATACTTTTTTTGGTTGCCAAACAGTGCCTTAATAACATACTCTCTATGTGAAGCAAAGATTGCAAGTTGGCGCTGGGAACAGACATTGAGTCGCGACATTTATCAGCTTGGACACCATTTTGATTTCTTTAGGATGATGTCTTGTCATTTAACCACTGTGGATGATGTGAAACAATGTGCATGCAGGTATGAAGAACAACGACAACAATGCTTCACCAAATCAGCGATCAATCTAGGCAGGAAACTCAAGAAGAAAGTGGAGCTCTTGGTGGTTTTAAACAAAAGTTGCAATGTACTAAGTTTACGGCCTTGTAAATTATTCAGAAAATAAATGTAATGATTCGTTCTTGTAATAAAAGTTCAACTTGTAATATTTAGATCAGCAGATATACGCGGCAAACATAGCAACTCACTCACTAATCAAGCAGAATATAACACAATAGCAGTTGATATTAAAATTGATAATAACACGCACACGATAGCAGTTCCTAAAGTACTGGGTCGAAAAAAAACGAAACATTCGTCGGCCTGAACAGACTTGACGTGAGGGACCTCTGGAGGTGGTACGACGACACCGAATATGAGGGGAGGGAGTTCTCCTCCGAGAGCTATGTTGCTGGGGTGAATTGATGCGTTTGGGTGGAAGCGTCGGTGCCACGAACTGATTCCCATCCGACTTTCCATGCTATCGGCGGTCTGAGGAGTCACGCGATCAACGTACTCTGCTGGAATGTCGAAGAGCTGGTAATCGAACCACTGAGAGAGAGCTGCAAGTCTACTACACCGGTCTCTGGGTCGCATACGAATTGGGCATCTTCAGCTGCAGGATCGGCCATGCACTAACGGGCCGCGAAATCAGAACTCGAATCGGCGACGAACAAAGCGGAGATCTGACGACAACGAGGTGAGGCAGATGACAGCGGATTGGATGACGACGTGTTGACGGCGTCAAACTGGACGACAATGAGGGCGACGTCGTCGAACTGGATGTCGACGCGACGACGGGACGGGGGTGATGTGATGACCTGCAGGTAGGCGATATGTGGAGGAGGAGGCCCGGATGCAGGGGTTTGCTGCTGTTCGCGAAGAGGGAGGAAGCACCGTACGCCTGGAGGTTCTGCGGTAAATGAAGAGGAGGCACGGGATGGCGGGTGCTTGTCATTCTGGTGCCGTCGGAGTTTGATGAAGAGGAGGACAGGAGGCGGAGTTAGGGTGTTCGGGGCTGCCGCTGAGGGCGTTGGAGGGAACAGGGAGGGAGGCAGGGCTTGTGGAAAGAAGAGGAGAACAGCGGGGAGGGCGCGGCCTAACGGCTTGTGGAGGAGGAGAAGGATCCAGGGGGTTGCGGACGCTTGGCGAGAGCAAACGGAGAGAGGAGAAACAATGGTGGCTGTGGCGGTTTGTGGAGGAGGCAAGAGCAGAGAAATCGTCCTAGGGTTTCACACCCGAGGCTTCACGCCATTATTTAGTCAACAATTTTTTTTATTTCAATCTTCATTAATCAATTTTGATTACAGCAGTGCTTTAAAATGAAAAGAAAAAATACAGATTTGGAAATCCCTCAAATCACTCAGATACTAAAAACTAATTAACGACTAAATTTAAACCACAATTCAAAATTCAAAATTCAAATCTAAACCGCTAAACTGAATTAACTACTCAATCAGCAAATCAAAGCCAAATACTCATGCTGTCCACCAGAGGGCATTTCCTATGCCGGTAGGAACGTCCGAATCTGCCCGTGATGTCCTCATCATTCTCCCGGGGTGGAAGAGAACTCGATCCTATCGAGTGCAAGTCAGCACGGCTGTCGTAGTGCTCAAGAAGATCTGGATCCAGCTGCTATAAATCACCTCAATCGAGCCAAGTATCGTCAGACTCAGGTCGACCTCTCCAACACACCAAGTACCTGCGGATACCACTATCGCTAGTAGAAACAATGTCATCATCAATAATATTATCAATGTCATGTGCTGTATTTGGGGGTGATATTTGAGGAAGTGGAGGTAAAGGGGAGCTCTCAGAAATAGGCTCAGGGGTAGGCTCATCAACATTGGGTTGTCAGGGTTAGAATGTGGGCCTTTGTACTCTACTAAATCCTCAATGTTAAAAACCGAACCAAAATTAAAACCTTCAGGAAGGTCGAGAACATAAGCATTATCATTAATTTTCTTGAGAATTTTGAAAGGCCCTGCACTTTGTGTATGAAACTTTTTAACAGTTCTTGGAGGAAACCATTCCAGACGTATCCGGACCATCACATAATCCCCAACACTAAATTCTTTGAACCTCCTTCTTAGATTTGCACGCAATTTATAGTTAGCATTGCTATCGTTGATCTTTTTGCTAATTTCTTTATGCAAGTCATGAATGCGAGATGCAAATGCAGATGCTGACTCAGATACTCTATGGTGTACAGACACGGGGACAAGATCTATAGGTTGTATAGGCTTGTAACCATACACGACTTTAGCTGGACTGACACCTGTAGACCTATTCACTAAGTTATTATAGGCAAATTCAGCAGTAGGTAAATATTGATCCTAATCCCTAAGATTCTCACCAACTAGCGATCTCAAGAGGTTACCTAAATTCCTGTTAACTACTTCTGTTTGACCATCGGTTTGGGGATGAAAAACCATTGAGAATTGAAGCTTAGTTCCCATTTTGTGCCAAAGGGTTTTCCAAAAATAACTAGTAAATTTAACATCCCTATCAGACACAATTGTTTTCGTTAAGCCGTGCAGTTTAACAACTTCGTTAAAGTATAGCTTGGCCACATGAGAAGCATCAGAACTCTTGGAGTACGGTATGAAGTGGGCTATTTTGGAGAATCGGTCCACAACAACAAGGATAGAATCATGTTTTCTAATCATCTTTGGAAGTCCTAACACGAAGTCCATACCGATATCTTGTCATGGACAATTTGGGACAGGGAGAGGAGTGTACAGACCAATATTTTACTTACGTTGTTTAGCTAGTTGGCAGGTGTAACATCGACCCACTAGCCTAACAACGTCACATTTAATACTTGGCCAATAGAAGCGACATTCAACAGCCTCGATAGTCTTGTTGTTCCCAAAATGTCCTGCAAGGCCTCCAGCATGTAGTTCCCAAATCAAGAATTCTCTTAGGGAGGTACTAGGATTACACAACTTGCGAAAATAAAAAAGATATCCATCCTGCAGGAGAAAACCATTTATTTCACGGGTCACTCCATCACTCAACAAAGTGTAAACTTCACTAAAATCAGAGCACAACTCATCTTTGACATTTTCAAAGCTGACTACTTCCGCACTCATCATGGAATAAGGTGCATGCGGCGACTAAGTATGTTAGTGGCCTTATTCTCTACTCACGCTTTATGCTTAATTGTGTAAGCATAGTCCTGGAGGAACTCAACCCAACGACCATATCTGGCATTCATCTTTTTTTGGGAGTGAATATATCGAAGGGCCTCATGGTCAGAATATATAACGAATTCTTTCGGTAGCAGGTAGTGACACCAGTGGTGAAGAGATTGTATCACCGCATAGAATTCTTTATCATAGGTGGAATATAGTCGCCTAGTATCATTCAGCTTCTCACTAAAGTAAGCAACGAGATGTCCTTTTTGAGATAGGACTCCACCAATACCAATACCAGAGACATCACATGCAATTTCAAAGACCTTAGAAAAATCGGGCAGGCGCATAACAGGTGCTTGCGACATTCTCTGTTTGATCTCCACAAATGCCTTGGTAGTAGCTTTTGACCACTCAAACTCACCTTTCTTCAAGCAATCGGTAATAGGGGACATGATGGTGCTGAAGCCCTTTATAAACCGACGATAAAAAGTAGCGAGTCCATGAAAGCTTCGAACATCTCTAATGTTCTTGGGTTCGGGCCATTCTTCAATAGCACCAACTTTTTCAAGGTCAACGAATACTCCTTTAGAAGAGACCGCAAATCCTAGAAAAATGACTTGGTGTGTAAGAAAAGTACATTTCTTAGGATTAGCATAGAATTCCTCTTTTCTTAACACAACACAAACTTGACGCAGATGGTCTACGTGTTACTCACAAGAGTTACTGTAAATAAGATATCATCAAAGTATACCACCAAGAATTTTCCCGTGAAGGGGCGGAGTACTTGAGTCATCACTCTCATAAAAGTGCTCGGAGCATTAGTCAAGCCAAAGGGAATGACCATCCATTCATACAATCCATCTTTCGTCTTGAAAGTGGTCTTCTACTCGTCACTGGGACGGATGCGAATCTAATGGTAGCCACTCTTAAGATCAATCTTAGAAAAGATAGTGGCTCCAGACCTGATGTTAGCCACTCTTAAGATCAATCTTAGAAAAGATAGTGGCTCCAGACATTAGATCAAGCATGTTACCCAACCAGGGGATGGGGAAACAACACCTCATCGTGATCTTGTTAATTGCACGGCTATCCATACACATGAGCCATGTTCCATCTTTCTTTAGCGTTAGTAATGTGGGGACCGCACAAGGACTCATGCTTTCCTTCACAAAGCCCTTCTTCAGCAGTTCATCAACTTGCCTCTTCAGCTCTGCATGTTCATTAGGGTTCATCCTATAGTGAGGCAAATTGGGAAGGGTTGCTCTCGGGACCAAATCAATTGCGTGTTGGATGTCGCACATCAGGGATAATTGGTCCGGAAGGTCCTCAGGAAAGACATCAGAGAATTCTTCTAACACAAAAGTGACTTCTGGAGGAACATCGATAATATCCTTAG